CGGCACCCGGAGGACACGGAGCGGGCGAAGGAGAGGAGTGAGTGGCCGAGAGAAACACCGGTCAGTTGCCTCCTGCACTGATCGCTCCGAGTTACGGATGAGGAAACAGAGGCTTGTCGGCAGCGAAGGCTGGAGGGAACGTGTGGGCCTGGCAGGCTGCACACGGTTCCTGTCCCTTGTCTCCTTCACAGCCCTTTACCATGGACTTGGCCCTTTTTTCCCAAGATCACCTCCCCTACAGAGCCTTTAGACATTTTTCCCTAATCATTTCACCCCAGGAAATTTTAATATCTACTAAATAGATATTATTATGCCTATGTATGCAGTGTAACTGTATCCATACATATATTTATATTTTATACATAAAAAGAGACGGAACCGGTTTGGCTCAGTGGATAGAGCGTCGGCCTGCGGACTGAAAGGTCCCGGGTTCGATTCCGGACAAGGGCATGTACCTGGTTATGGGCACATCCCCAGTAGGGGGTGTGCAAGAGGCAGCTGATCGATGATTCTCTCTCATCGATGTTTCTGACTCTCTATCCCTCTCTCTTCCTCTCTGTGAATAAATCAATAAAATATATATTTTTTTAAAAAGAGCAAAATCCTCTAATCCTTTTATGTCGCCCCCAAGAACCAATATTTGCCCCGCTGAGAATGGGCAGACTCAGACGAGGGTCCCCTCCTTGGCACTGCTGAGCTGTGGGCCGATCACTCTGTGGGGGGCTGCCCCGAACACTGTGGGGTGTTGAGCAGCGTCCCTGGCCCCCCTCCCTCGATGCCAGGAGCACCCCATTGTGACTGGCACAGATTTTTTTCCAGACATCACCCCTGGGGGCCAGCATCACCCCGGTGAAGGGCCTCTATGCTAGGCAGACAACTTCTGATCTCACCTTTGGGAAATGGGCTCACTGAGCTGGGCCTCAGTTTACCCACTTCATCCACTGGTGGATTTAATCGGGACGGTGCCAGGAAGCCCTTAGCACCTCGGGACACCAGCCAGCCTCCAGGCCTTATCTGCTGCGGGTGCATCTGTGCGGACGGAAGGAAGATGTGTCGTGGGACTGGGTGCATGAGCACAGGGGAGGAGAGGAACCCTCTGTGCCTTTCCTCCCCGGTTTTCCACGGAACACACACACACACACACACACACACACCCGGAGCGGCTCCGCCCGCGCTCAGCTCCGGCCAGTTTGGTCGCCACCAGCACGTACACGTGGCTGTTGGGGACGGAAAGGTGACCAGTGCCACCGGTGTTCAGAGATTTTGTTTTCAATGCGTTTCATCTCAGTGCAGAGTCGCACGTGGTGAGTGGCTCTCCTGTAGACAGCTCTAGACGCTGACCCGATGACAGGCGAGCGGTCAGCGGGTGGGTGGGTGGGACACGTTTTGAGGTTTCAGTCATGACTAGACATGAGATGGCATCCTGAAAGGGAAGGAGGTTCTGGCACAGGGCGCCCCGCGAACTGGCCGGAGGGCGGGTGCTCGGGGAGGTAAGCCAGGCGCGGGACAGGCATGCTGTGTTCCGCCCATGCGTGGTCTGTCTGAGCGGAGTCCACGTCACACACACACAGAGCCGCGGGGAGTGCCGGGCTGGGGAGGGAGCCGCGTGTAGTGGGGACAGCGTGTCCGTTTGGGAAAAGGAGGAAGCTCTGGATGCGGACGGCGGGGATGGTTGTACCACGGTGAAGCAGGTAATCCCGCTGAGCTGTGCGCTGAGACATGGTTAAATGTTATGTGAGGCTCTTCACCACAGTCTGAAAGTTAAATGTAAGAATACTTTCATGGGATAGCATACACGTACATCAGCATATGGCTAAGGAATTGTACTTGTTTAAGTTAAAGAAACATTTCCCAGGACGGTGGAAAAGGAAGCGGTCTCCTCACCCCAATAAAGGGACCCGCAGAGACGCAGGCTGACGTCAGGCTGGCGGCGAGGGCTCGGGAGCGAGCGAGGGCACCGCCGCCGCCCGCCGCTCCGTACCATTGCGCCGGAGGGCCTGGCCCGGGCAAGAAGGCGAGAAAAGGAAGTCGGAGGCGTGCAGATTAAAAGGGAAAAAATAAGACTGTTCCTATTTTATTTGCAAAGGACAGCATGGTTTACATAGAAAATCCCAAGGAATTAAAAAAAAATAAAGCTTTTTGCCCGGCTGGTTCGGCCTGCAGAAAGAAGGGTCCCAGGTTTGAATCCAGCCAAGGGCACATGCCCTGGCTCCAGGCTCCATCCCCAGTAGGGGGCGTGCAAAAGGCAGCAGATCAATGATTCTCTCCCGTAATTGATGTTTATCTCTCTCTCCCTTCCTCTCTGAAATCAATAAAATATATTTTTTAAGAAAATAAAGCTTTTAGAACTAAGAAGTAGACTCAGCAAAGCTGCAAAATACAGGGTTAACACACACACACACACACAAAAACAACAACAATTGCACTTGTAAATGCTAGCAGTGAAGAGTTAAAAACAAAAGTTAAAAACGCAGTATTGTTTATAACCTGTCCCCAAACTTACCATGTATTGATTGGCAATTTGATGGCGACGGTTTTACACTTCAAATTAGCTAACTGGGTGACTCAACCAACCCTGGGAGGTGGGGGTCTATCATCTTGCCCATTTCACAGATGAGGAAACTAAGGCTCAAAGAGGTAGTGAGGCTGGCCTGAGGTCACAGAGTGAATGGACAATGAGACAAGGCTCCGACGAGAGCCAGCCATACCCTCGCGCCATCGCTTCCAATGGATACAAAGCCTCCCAGGCACAAACAGCCGAGCCGGTAACAACTGTAATGAGGCTGCTCCTCCGTCTGACGCGCGCTCACTACACACCAGCCTTGGTTTGGGGCACTTTATTGTAGCATTGTCACCTTTTCCCCGACGAACAGCCTTCAGGGGTGGTGCTGTGGTTGTGCCCATTTCACAGATGAAGAGAGTAAGGCCCAGAGGGAGGTGAAGCATTGCCTTGTCTGCCTGGTTCCAAAGCCGCAGCACAGAGGCGGCGCTCAGGAAACATGCCCGGCCGGAGTGTGGGCCAGCGCCGCTGCCTGCCGAGCCCACGTGGGCACCCGTTCTGGAAGAGGGTCCCGCGCCCGAGGCCCGGAGCCCGAGGACGAGTGCCCGGGCTGGGCACTTCCCAGTGGAGTGGCCGCCGTGCCCAGCCGCGGGGCCGTCCAAGCGGGACTGGCCGGCCCCGAGGGGCTGCTGGCTGCCCGACCTGGAAGTGGCCACAGGGCTCAGGGCCGAGCCGGGCACGCTCCCCTCGGCTGCTGCCCAGCCGTGCCCAGCCCAGTCGGCCACGGCTGGGGCTGCAAAGGCAAGTCAGGAAGGAGCTGCCCCCGTCCATCCATGGATGGGAAACTGAGGCGCGGGGCCTCGGGCAGGCGCCTCCGTCTTGGCAGCCAGTAGGTGCACAGCACACAACGTGCGCAAAGCCGCAAGCGCGGTGCCCCGCAAACAGCGGGAGCTCGTGACTGTTTTAGGAAGTATCGTCGTTATTATGATCGCCATGACAACACCGAGGGAGCAGAGGCCCCAGGAGGGGAAGTGACCTCGCCACGACCACACCTCCTCGAGGCTCCCAGACGGACGGAAGGCGGGCGTCTGGGCCCCGGAGCCAGATGGCTCGCGCACGCGCAGTGTCGGCGGCTGGCCGCCCGCCCAGGACGGAGGAAGAAACACAGTTGACCCTTGAACAACTCGGGCTGGAAGAGCGTGGATCCACTCCTACGAGGGATTTCTTCCAATAAACACTGGACATATGTATCTTCTGTCCCTTATGCCTTTTTGAATACCCTTTTCTCTGGCTTACTTTATCGTTGCAACGCAGTATATCACCCATATAACGGACAAAAGACGCCTTAGGCTGTTTATGTTATCAGTAAGGTTTCTAGTCATCAGGAAGCTGTTAATTCAGTTTTTGGGGGGAGTCCACTGTTACCAGGATTTTTAACAACGTTCCCGACCCCCACACTGTGTGAGGTTCACTGTGGCCCTCGTCACAGGGCACCCGGGGCGTGGGGCGGGCACCTTTCCGCCGTCTAACCGTGTTCCTTGCCTGTAGAATGGGCACAATGACAGTGCCAGCTTGGCGGCTGTCTTAAGGAGTTGAGGGAACGTGTTAAAATGGGAGCAACAGTCTCTGCGGTCATGTTGGGGATTTTAAACTAACGATGGTAATAATGAGGACATTACCACGAATGCACGAGTGCTTCCTACGTGTTATCCCCTGTCACCTCCTGGCAACCCAGTCAGGCCTGGCGGTGCTGGCGCCTGTGAAAGGAGAAAACAGAGCAGTGACACAGCGACTGCTCCCGGCTCCGGGCACGGCAGGGGCAGCGGGTGTGGGGGCCGGGCCCCCCTCTCTCTGCCGTTTGATTGATTCCCAGCACCTTTCTGGGAGACGGACGGGCGGGTCCTGGGTCCTGGCCCCCCGAGCCCGGTGCTGAGTGGCTGTGGGGCTGCAGAGGGAGCCGGCGTGATCGCCCTCCGTCCAGGCACCGGAGCCGATATCGCTGAGCTCAGCGTCTGCCTGCTACCGGTGGCCACGGAGCCTGATTATTTTTAGATAAATGGATGGGCGAGTGCTGGGGTGGGGGTAGCCCACAAGCCAGGCAGTGGGTGGGGCCACTGCGGCTGCAGAGGGATGCCCCTCGGCCCCCTCTCTGGGGACCCTTAGTAGCACCCCAAGACTAAGGGCTGAGCGCTTAGGACTTTAAGGGCAGAGGCCGAGAGAAGTGGGCCCAAGGGCTCAAGAACTCACCACTCTGGCCTCGGTTTCCCCATCTGTCAGCGCCTAGGGCTGCGGCGGGGTTAAATGAGCTCACCCTGTTTCACAAATGGGGAGACCGAGGCTCAGGGGGAGAGCTTCTCGCCCTGTGTGAGGCCAGGCACCGGTGCGGCGTCTGCAGGTGCCCGGCCAGACGTCCATGACCCTCTGGGGCAGCAGCCGAGGGAGGGGCCATGCAAAGACCCCAGGGCCATCCGGCATCACCTACTCCTTCCTGTCTTGGCAGACGCGGAGCAGAGCGGCAGTCCCCGGGCCGGGATGGGCTCTGACCAGGAGGACAGCAAGCCCATCACGCTGGGTAAGTGTGGGGAAGGCGAGGGTGGCGGGCACGGCCCAGCCTCATACTTTACTCGGGAATCATTTTCTGAGAACACCCCGCCCCCGTGTGCTCCGGTGGCTGTGTGTGTGCCTGATGCTCCTGAACCGTTCGCTCCTCGCAGCTCTGCAGCGGGGAGCTGCTGGTTGTTCCTTTTTGAAGTGAGGAAACTGAGGCTCAGAGGGGTCAGGGGGCTGCCCAGGGCCACCTGGGCTCCAAGGCACTCCCTCCACCCACCAGAGAGGCCCTGGGCAGCCCGCATTCCCGTGGGTGTTTAACAATAAATAGAAAAGTCAGGTCTGTGTTGGGGGGTGGAAAGTGGGAGGATTTGCCTAAAGCAGGGCTGGGAGCAGAGCCCAGGAGAATGGAAGGGATTTGAAAGCTGTTTCTGCCCTTCCTCCCCCCCCTTCCCCCCCCGCCCCCCCCCCGCCCCGCCCCATCCTCCAATCCCGAATCCCACAGTCTGTCCTCCCCAAAGTGGCCAGAGGGCGCCTGTGAGCACCTGAGTTAGGTCCCACCCTCCTCTGCCCAAAGCCCCCCAACCCCCACTCCCACTTTGGGAGGAGGGTGAGCCCAAGTCCTTCCCACAAGGCCCCCACCCAGCCTACCCGTCCCCTCCCTGCTCTCCCCTCTCTCCCTCGCTCCCTTCTTTCACTTGCTCTGTCCCAGCCACACGGGGCTGCTCCTTGTTCTTCCAACATGCAAGGCGTGATCCTGACTCAGGCTGTGAGCTCTGCCTGGGCTGACACCCGCTCTCGCTTTCTCCAGGCCCCCAGGCCTCCGCTCAGGGGCGCCCCTTTCAGAGCCCCCCGCCCGCCCAGGCAGCCTCGGCCCTCGGGATTGGCCGCCCTCTCTGCTTCATCCCCGGAGGAATTAGTGATCGCCTACGGGTTTGCCCCTCCCCTCACGGAGCACCATCAGGGCAGAGGTTTTTGTCTCTCTTGACTACCATTGTGTCCTCTGTGCCGAGAATACACCTGGTACACAGGAAGCTACTGGATAAATATGTGTAGAGAGGAAGAAAGGAGGAAGGCAGGTATGAAGCAGAGAGAAAAAGAGAAACTGGAGAGATTGGGCGGGAGGGAGGGAGGGAGGGAGGGAGACAGGGAGGGAGGGTGACAGGGAGGGAGGGTGACAGGGAGGAAGGGAGGGTGGGCGGGCCAGTATGTGAGGGCATCCTGTTGGATGTACGGCCCAGCCATGCCCACGGAGGCCGGCTGCTTCCAGGAGGTTCCCAGGCCGCTCCTCACTGGCCATCTGTGGCCAGAGTCCTCCCTGGCCTCCTGGGACCCCGGGCCTCCTCCTCACTCAGACGTGCAAGGCCGCCGGGCAGCTGCACGCTCCGGCCTGGTCCCCTGAGGAGCTCCGAGTCTGGCGGAGGAAATCACTTCCTCTCCCCCCGCCGGGGAGTCCCCTGGAGATGGAGCCGGACAAACAGGAAACCCCGATGCGGGGAGGGCAGGGGGCCTGCAGACACCAGCTGGCCAGTCGGGTGGCAGGAAGCAGCCATGGCCACTTGCCCTGGACACTGGGGCTCCACTGCCCTGTCCTTCCTGGGTTGGAGTGACCCTGTGCTTCCCAGCGTGATAACAGGTGCTCACCAAACGGGCCACAGAGCCTGTAACCAGGAAGGCTGCGGTTCCTGCACTGTCCGGGGCGTGGGCCCGCTGAGAACAGCACCAGGGTGAACTCCCTGCAGCTGGTGCTGGCCTGTGGGGCACAGAACACACATACACACACACACACACACACACATCGCACACCACACATACCACACACACACAGCCTAGCGATTCCTGCCTGCCCACCCCATGCCCTTTCTGACCACTCTCCCAGGAGCGAGGCTGGGGGCAGAGCCCTGAAGGATGGAAAGGATTCGAAAGCTCCCTTCACTCCAGCCCTGTTGGCCTCCACCTTGCCAACTGTGTGTTCCGACCCCAGGGCCTTTGCACCGGCCATGCTTGCCACCAGGAACTTCGTGGCCCCCGGGGAGGGAGGTGGTGAAACATCAGTTAGGACCGTCCCGACCGGAGCAGCCAGCACACACAGGGCAGCTCCCTGTGCCACGTGCTCTTGTTCTGGGCGCTTCCCACATGGGAACTCCTGTGTCCCGAGGTACCTCGAGGTCTCGGTGAAATGTGCCCTCCTGTGAGGCTTTCTCTGAGCCTGTGTGTCAGAGAGGCCCCTTCCCAGGAGCCTCCTCACCCCTGCCTGCCCTCCCCCTGCCTGACACACCTCACGCTGGACTTAGGGGTAGTGACATTTTTTCTATTGTGATAAACTACACCCAAGAAAAACTTTATCATTTTAACCCAATTAAAATGTGCATGCAATTCAGTGGCATTCAGTACATTCACAGTGTTGTGTGACCATCACCACTATCTAGTTCCAGAACATTCCATCATCTCAGAAGAAATTTATTCCCCCTTAACAGTTACTCCCCACCCCCTCCACACCACCCCCAGCCCCAGTGCCTGGCAACCACAAACTCACTCGTCTCTGTGGATTTGCCTGTTCTGGACATTTTATACAAAATCAGCTGCACCGTATGTGGCCTTTTGTGCCTGGTTACTCGCTGAGTACCATGTTTTCAAGGTTCATCTGGATGGTAGGGAGTGTCGGTGCTTCATCCTTTTTTCCAGCTGAGTAACATTCTGTTGTCTGAATGGGCCCCGGTTATCCATTCATCCACCAATGGGCACCGAGTTGCTCCCAGTTGGGCGGTCAAGCGCCATGCTACTGTGAACGTCTGTGTGCAAACCGGCCCAGCCCAGAGGGCAGTGCTCCTTCCTCTGACACTGGGTGGTGGTGGTTCTGGGGCCGCAGGATTTTACCTTTTGTCTGTGGACTCTCTATTCAGCCTGCAGTCTGAGCCTTTTTGCCAGGCTCTGGCCAGGGACCAGGTGGGGCCTGGGCAGAGAAACCCCTGCCCTTGTGAAGCCCCCAGTCTGGAGGGAGAAAGAGACTGAAGGACAGCATTGCCTGGGGTGGTGACTGAGACAGAGCGAGCGAGCCTCCCCTTCTGGGCAGTTCGGTTCATAGCTCTCAGCCACCGGACAACAGGGTGTACAGGCCCAATTTTCAGGATTAGGGAGCATAGAGGGGAAGGGATTTGCCCAAGATCACCGCTGAGTGGGTGACTGAACCGAGATTTGGACCTGGGTCCGGCCTCTGCTTCCAACCTACTGTGGCTCAGAGAGCCCCAATGAAGATGAGGCTGGTTATGTGGCCCCCACAGAAGGGGAAACTGGATGCAGATGTTAAAGAAAAGAATGTCCCCTCCAGCTGTGCAACGGCACAGGGACTCTCCCCCCTGGCTGGAGTGGCTTAGCTGGAGAGCCCCACCTCTGCAGGGCTGCAGGAGTGGAGGGGTGACTGCTCAGGCTGGGTCCGGCCCCCTGAGCCGGGGTAGTGCTGGGTGTTGAGGAGGGATACAGACACACTGACACCCATTATCCCTTTTCCAGACACAACTGACTTCCAGGAGAGCTTTGTCACCTCTGGTGTGTTCAGTGTCACCGAGCTCATCCAAGTGTCCCGGAGTGAGTAACCCCACCCACCCCGGCTGGGACCCGGATAGGGGAGGGGCTGATACAGAGGGAGGGCGATGGAGAGACCAAGGGACTTCGGGATGGAGGCTCCGAGAGGGAAAGCATCTCAGGGAAGAGGAAGGAACCCACCACCCCCTCTTCTTCCCCTTGTGCTCTCTACCCAGCTACCGATCCACAAGCCGAGGGTCCTAGGAAGGGCAGTATCCAGGCCCTTCCCAGAGCCCCAGGAAATGGAATCCATGTGCTGGGGGGAGGGGCTGAAGAGCCTTCTGCCCAGCATCTCTCTTTCCTGGAGGGCTCCCCACACACACACACACACACACACAATTTGCTTCTTGCCCCCTTGTGTTTCCTATGAACTTACTGTGGGGACTCACCCCACTCTCTCAGACACCCCCATTTGAAGTCCACCCCAGGGAGTTTTGCTTAACCCTGACCACCATCTTCCCATCCAGATCAGCCTCTGGGAGTCCTGGAAAGCTTGGTCTCCAGCCCTGGCTATGCCTCTGCCTCACAGCACAACCTTGGCTTCTCTTGATGGCCTGGGGGAGGGGGGGTTAAACTATTGAATAAAGTCAGTTCTGGCCAAATTAAAAACCAGGCCAGTTTGGGAAAGGGCTCTCTCCACCCCTTCAGGGCAAATTGCAGTCCTGTACATCCTCATTCCCATCTCTGTCACTCTCTGCAGCACCTGTGGTGACTGGCACCGGACCTAACTTCTCACTGGGTGAGCTTCAGGGGCACCTGGCATATGACCTGAATCCAGCCAGCACCGGCATGAGAAGAACGCTACCCAGCACTTCCTCCAGCGGGTATGTGCCTGGGTCCCCATCTCCGGACATTTCATGACCCCTTTGCCCTCCATTACCTGGCCCCAGCTGATTCATTCCTCTCCTTGGAATGCCTGCTTTCCTGGTCTACTTGGGAAATGCCTACTCATCCTTCAGAACCCAACCCCAAGTGCCTCTTTCCCCTGACATCCCACTCTGGGCTTGAGGCCCACTGGCCCAGACCTGGAGACTCCATGGGAATGAGGATACCGCTTCCTGCTGACATGTGCTGTGTGACCGCGACTGGTCACATCTATTTTTTTTAAAATATATTTTATTGATTTTTTTACAGAGATGAAGGGAGAGAGATAGAGAGCTAGAAACATCGATGAGAGAAACATCGACCAGCTGCCTCCTGCACACCCCCTATTGGGGATGTGCCTGCAACCAATGTACATGCCCTTGACCGGAATCGAACCTGGGACCTTTCAGTCCACAGACCGACGCTCTATTCACTGAGCCAAACCAGTTTCAGCTGGTCACATCTATTTTGCCTCTGTGTCCTCCTCTGAAATGGGATCACAATCCTGCCAGTTTTTCAGAGGACTGCAGTAGGCCAAGGCACCAGCCAGGCCTCAGGCCTTTGGTCAGCCCTCTGCTCGCTTCTTGCCATGTGACCTCAGTGGGGTCCCTCCCTCCCTATGGCCCCAAGTGTCTCCTCTAGCAATAGGCAGGTTGAAACAGGTGTTAACATAACTGCCTGCAAGTTTGGGGCTTCTTTGAGGTCTCGCGAGAGCACCCTCCACGCCCCGCCCCCTAAGGGCCGGAAGTTACCAAGCCCGTCGCCTCCGCCCGCGTCTCCGTGGTAACCGTCCTGCGCTCTTCTTCCCTCGCCCCTTAGGAGCAAGCGGCACAAATCGGGCTCGATGGAGGAAGACGTAGACACCAGCCCCGGCGGCGATTACTACACCTCGCCCAGTTCTCCCACGAGTAGCAGCCGAAACTGGACGGAGGACATGGAAGGAGGTGGGGCTGGCGGCGGTGTGGGACGGCCTTCCGGTCGGGGTGACGCGGCGGGGACTACGTATTCCGGCAGGCGCTGCTTGCTTGCCGGGGAGCGGGAAGCGGGCCTGGATCCGCGAGGCCTCCCGGGAATTGTAGTCACGCGGCTGCGCGCAGTTGGAAGTCAAGTCCGGGCTCAAGTTCCCGGGGCTTTTTGGTTCCGCTCAGTCAGGCGGAGATAAAGGGAGGCCCTCTCACGCCCGACTTTCCTGCTCTCTGCCCTTAAGGGACCAATCTTTGTGGGGTTTCCAATCGTTAGAATTGACTCTGACGCTTCTGATCAACAGGGTGTTTCTTCTAAGCGTCTGCCATAGACCTCACCTGAGATGTAGGATCCCTGCTCACTGGGGTCCTCTGTGCAATCCTATATTTAAGAGATTCCCATCTCCATGGGGATTTCCCCGCTGTGTGATTCCATTTCTCTTTTCTCATAGCGCTCTTGTTTAGGGGGATCTCGTTCAGTTGCTCTTCTGTCTTCACAGGGGCCTCTCCAGACTCTTTTCTCTTGCGGTTCCTATGTTATGGTGTCCGCAGTTCCATGGAGTCTCACTTCTGTTGAGCGCTGGCTCCTGGGGATTCTTTGTTTACATAACGTCTCCCCAAGTGCTTTCTCCAAAGAGTTCCCTGGGGAGGGAGGGGGGCTATCTCCACCAAGATTCTCATCTAAAGAACCCCTTTCACCTTGAGGTTCTCTCCAGTGGGCCAGCGTTTGTGGCTCTCAGGAAATGGTGTGCAAAGTGGCCCACAGGCTTGCTTTACTCCGGGGCAGGCACCCCGGTTATTTCTCAGATTCTTTACAGGGTCTGTGCCCCACTTTCCCTCCCCCCCAATTTTAGAAGCATCGCGCTATCCAGTCTCTTATCCCTTATCAGAAATTCACCCCATGGGTTAAGGGTTATGAATTGGACGCTTGAATCTACCAGTTCTTAGAGCTTGTGACCCCACCTTTCTGAGCCTCAGTTTCGTCATCTGTAAAATTGGGATGTTAATTCATGCAGTACCCACCCTACGGGTTGTTGTGGGGACCAAGTGAATTAATACATCTGATTTCCCTACGACAGACTGGCACTTAATAAGCACCCAATAAACCTTAGGATGTGTTTTCTCCTCCCCTTCTCCTCTTTTCCTCCTCCCTGTCCCTACAGAGTCTGCTTTCTTATAATGATCTGTCCATACCTGTAGGATTCTCGAAAAGCAACATTACAATAACTAGGTTCAAATCCCAGCTCTTCCCTTGCTTTGTGGGCTATGTTACCTTGGGCAGGTAACTTAATCTGATCCTCGGTTTTCTCATTCTCAAAACAGGAGTGATGAAAAACTCCTCCTTCAGAAAGCTGGAAGGAGGAAGTGGGAGACTGTGTGTAGAGAAACTCGAGCCTATGGCAGGTGTCCAGGAAGCAGGAAAGTTTGTTGTTGCTCAATCTTAAAATTCCCACCTCATTGAATTAGTCTCTTAACACATCTGAGGTCCCGAGTCTCCTCCCCCTTCCACAGAACGGGCTTCCAGAGCAGGTCCCTAACTCTGGGAGGACCTGTCTCTGTATTATTAGGGTTTAATTTATGGGTCAGAGTGTCTCTATGGTTCTGCCTCTGTGGGTTCCCCGTCTCTATAAAAGACGCTGTGTTCCATAAGCTTTAGGTTTGATTATGAAAAACAGAAAACTCAAAAGGACATTTACTTGCAAGAGAAAAGTGCCTCTCTCTTGTAAGTCAATGTCCAGCCATCGGCAGCCCTAGCAAGTGTGAGGTAAGGGACGTAAGCCTTACAATCCTTTGAGTACGATTTTCATTTCCACCTCATGGTCCGAGACAACTGCTGGACCTTCAGCCGTCATTTCTACATTCCGGGCAGCAGGAACGGGGAAGGGTCAAGACTGGGCACGTCCTCTCCCTTTAAGGATAATTCTCAGAAGAGACACTTATCTTCCGCGTATCTCTCTGCTCCCGAGTTAGTCATGTGGCCATACCCTGCTACAGGGGACGTTGGGAACTGTAGTCTCATTTCAGGCAATTATGTGCTTATCTCAAATGTAGGGGTTCTGATCCCAAGGAAGAAGGGCAGAGCAGATATCGGGCGGTGTCTGCCCTGTTATTACTGATTGGGAACGCAGAGCACTTGTCATTAGCTCTGCGATTGAAGAGGCGGTTTGCATATAAAGTGTTCGCTATTTAGAGCTGAAAGGCGGCCTCTGTGTGGAGCCGCTTCAGCCCTGAGAGGTACAATTACAGCCTTAAGTCTATTGATTAGGGAAAGAGCACGGTTGCAAATAAAGAACCCAGCTTTTCATTCAGGAAGCTTAAAAAAGAAAAAGTTTTAAAAGGAAGGATATGTCCGAGCTAGTCCCTGTGGCTCAGTCCAACTTTCCTGCCCTGAGAACGAAGGGCCACCAGTAGGGGATCGAGGTAAAAACCTGCACCGGCTTCGGAGTGTGATGGGGAATTGTGGAGCTGGAAGGGACTGTCACAGGGTGTCTGTCTCCCTCTAGCGTCCATTGGTTGCCTCCGGTGATGGCAAACTCACTCCCTCCTGTGGAGCCTCAGTGAAAAGCCCTGCTGTATTCCTGTGCCTGCCCTGTAGGTGCTCACAGCCTACTGAGGGAGAAGGATTCTTATGTCTCCCCCCCCACCCCCATCATCATCATCATCATCATCATCATCCGTCTTCTCCTCCTCCTGGCTTCCTCCAGCTTCCTGTCTAGACAGCCCCCAATTAGCTGCTCGTCAAGGGGCTTACGCTGATTGGAGTACTTTCTCCCTTCTGTTGCGGCTGCAAGGGCAGTGCTCAGCTAACCCCTCAACCCCAGCAGCCGTCCTCTGTTGCTTGGGAGGTTTGAGGACGGGAGATCGTGCCAGCCCCACCAGACAGCACCCCTGCAGCCACACCTGCCAGGCCCCCGAGCCAGCCTCCAGGCCATTGCCCTTTCCGTGCCTGGGCCTGGGCCACCTCCCGGCCACCTCCTCCTGAGGCCTTCCCTGGTCACCATCCACGTGGGGCAGAGAGGGCACCTTCTGCTCAGCTCCCAGGGTGCTTTGTTTTTGCTGCTGCTTTGGCCCATTCTGGGGACACGGGCCCTTCACACACATGGTTACCCGAGGGGTGAAGCAAGCAACCCGGCCCCGCCTCTCTCCTCTGCTCCCTGGGTGGCGGAGGGTGGCCTGTGAAATTACAGAGTTGGATTTGAATTCCAGCTCCTCCCCTTGTTAATAACTGCGGCCTTGGGCACGTGAGTTCTGCCATCAGGCCTCGTCATCACGTGTGAAATGGGGGTGTCTCCTGTAAGCCCTGCGCGGGGTAGCTGTGAGGAGGACGTGAGAGCAGGCTCTGAGCGTCACTGCCCCCATCCACGGGAGCGAGGCCTCCGTGCGCTGTGTGCTCACTGATGGCTGGTCTGAGCGGAACGACGTGCTCCATTCACCACACACTCCTGTTGGCCACCCTGTGATCGGGGGCGGTGGAGACCCCACAGTCAGCTAGAGCGGACCCCCCACAGCCTGTGGCCTCGCTGTCACTCCAACAACCCGCAGAGGAGCTGGCACTGCAGTGGGGGCCGGCCTGGTTCCAGGGCGGGGTGCTCAGACGGGAGGGCACAGGCCTGCTTACTCACTGAAGAGTGTGCTTCGGCGGGACAGGCATGTGTGTGTCCTTAAAGGGGCACTCATGCCCGATGGGGACCGGTAGGTGTGTGCTGAGAGAAAGATGGCTGCTCGGATGGGGGTGGTGTGTTACAGGCTAAATGGAGAAGCGGGCTGAGATGGAGGACACAGAGCGCTGGTAGCTGATAACAGTGGCTTGAGTGGGGCATTACAGGCCTGGAGCTGAACAAACGGGGGGGGCGGGGGGAGGCCTCTGGAGCCTGTCCAGGAGCTCGAAGGGTTATTCTTGCAGCACCCGCCGGGCTCCCCCTCCCCCATGCTCTGCCCTGCCTCCCAGAGGCCCATCTCAGGAAGCTCAGGGGGCGGGCCCACACCAGGCTATTTCCATCCAGGACAGGCTGTTCTAGGAAATCCTCCTAAGTGAGCATCTGACAGTCCTAACCTGGTTCTGCCACAGCCCGCACCAGGAGAAAGCCTGCCAGCCCTCCTCCTGCACACACACGCACACGCACACACATGCACACGCGCACACGCACACACACACACGCACAGCCTGCAGGGCCAGCCGCCTCCTGCCCACAGCCTCCATCCCACCGGCTCCTCCTGTTCCCAGAGAAAGCCCGGGCCCTGCCTCCCAAGGCCCTGCCGACCCCCCTGCCAGGACTCGCTCACTCAAACCGTGAGGTGTGCAGGGCAGCAGGGTTTGGCTCTCGGATCTGTTCACCCCAAGCGGAGCTGTCGGAGAGGACAGGAAGGTGTGGAAACACCACACAGGAAGGGGTGCGACGGTGTGCTGGGCGGGACAGGCTGGGGAGCGTGTGCAGGTGCCCACCCTCCACCGTGGGCAGGAGACCCCACAACAGTGGCAGCATGCCTCAGAGGAGGGCAGGGCTTCTAGCTGGGTGACCCTGCCCACAGGGGACATAGGTGGCTGTCACACGAGGCGGCCTCGAGTGGGCGGGGCCAGAGATGCTGTCAGCACCGCCCAGGTGGCCGCACCGCCCAGCGGCCGCAGTGCTGGGAGGTGTGTCTGGAGCAGGGGGCCGTGTGCTGGGTGGCAAGGAAGTCACACCTCATCAGGGTCTCAGTGGGTACATTTCGCCCTAAAAGAAATTTTAAAAACAATTTCTAAACATGTCCATCTCCAGGCCCCACTTCTTTGAGCCCGATTCCAGGGACGGGGCCAGGTCTGTATTTTGGGGGCATGCCATCATCCTTAGCTCTCACATTGGAAGATGGCGGAGAGGGTGCAGGGAGGAAGTCCGGGGCACTCACACTTCCGGGCTGACGTGTGCCTGGCCCTGCGCGGCCCGTCCTCTATCAGGATGACGGTGCTCTGTGCCGGGGTCTCCGTGGATTCTACATGTGCCCGTCTTCCACCATTCCCCCGTTCATTTGCTCCTGAGAAGGTTCAGGGGCTGAGCTGTCAGGGTTTCCGAGGGCAGGGCAGGGAGGTAGTGAGGCCCCGTTTCAGAGGGATGACAGTTACCAAGTAACGCCAGCAGGTGGGTGAGCGCCAGGCCCTCGCACATTACATCTCACTTAATCCTCGAGGTGACCTTGCCAGGGGGTTCTCTGCCTTCCCCGGTGAGGACGAGGGAGCACACGCGGCTCAGGTGCTTGTCTGTGTCCGCGCCAGGGCCCGGCCTCCTGTCTGCTGTCCTCCGGGGCTCGGGAGGGAGAAAAGGGAAGGGCCAGGTGGGCATGTCAGGGGCCTGTGGTGGCATCGAGGCCGTAAACCCTGGGCGGCTCCCTCTCCACCGTGAGCCTTGGTTTGCTCCGTCTATAAAATAAGCCCGGCCCCTTGCCCACAGGCTGCGGGAGGAAGAGGGGCGGGACCTTCAGGAGGGAGGCTGGGGTCCTGGGCGTGGAGCCACCCTGCCTGCAGCGCTGTGACCCTCTGGCCCCTCCGCACACAGGCATCTCATCCCCGGTGAAGAAAACAGAGATGGACAAGTCACCTTTCAACAGCCCGTCTCCCCAGGACTCTCCGCGCCTCTCCAGCTTCACCCAGCACCACCGGCCCGTCATAGCCGTGCACAGTGGTGAGCACTCGGGGCCCCGGGCGGGGGGGGGGGGGGGGGGGGGGGGGCCGCAGCTGGCTCTCTCGTCAGCCCCTCCAGGCCGGGGAAATCCACGGCCGTCTGAGCACGAGTCCTTTCGCTGTAGCTCCCTCTGGGTGAGGACACCTGGCGGTGCCGTGGTAGAGAGCGCCCAGGCGTGACTGGCTCTTTGGGCCTCAGTTTCCCCTTTTGCGTGGGAAAGAGCACAGCCTGTGGTTTGCCCCTTAGCCTGCTTCCCTTTTGTCCCGTTTGAAGAACCCATAGACAGACGATGGTGTGGGACGGCCGCAGAAGGAGGTGGATGAGCCTGGCATGTGGCCACACACACAGGCCACGCAGTGACACGGGGCCTCCTGGCCTCTGGGACAGGAATCTCACACACAGAGCAGAGGACACGGGCTCCGGCGGCCCCAGGTGTGAGCTGCGCCAGGCCCCCCAACGTCACCGCCGTCAGGGCCCCCCAACGTCACCTGCCATCAGGGCCCCCCAACGTCACCTGCCGTCAGGGCCCCCCAACGTCACCTGCCGTCAGGGCCCCCCAACATCACCTGCCATCAGGGCCCCCCAACGTCACCTGCCGTCAGGGCCCCCTCCCATGGCCGTCATTAGGACTGAGTGAGTTAAATGGTGAAGCTCTCTAATGTCCCGGAGGCCCGTTGTGATGATAATGACATGGTTCCGCACAAGGGCAGAAGTCATATAGGGAGGCAGGCAAACATCAGCAGTGATGTAGGCCAGCAGCTGGCAAACCAGGACCCTCAGAGTCTGTTCTTATAAACAAAGTTTTATTGACCCCCCCCCCCCCACTCTCCACCATACCCATTCGGTGGTGGCTTTGGGGCTGGGATGGCAGAGTCGAGTAGCTGCAACAGAGACCATGTAGCCCAAAAAGCCAGAAATACTCACTAACTGGCCAGGAGCAGGAGGGAAAAGGGCATGGGGGGGGGGGGGGGAGACAGGGAATAGACACAGGCCTTCTTTTTGGGGTGATGCCCTGGAACTAGAGTGAAGGCAGTGAAAGTGGCTAAATTGTTCAGAGAAGAAAACAGCAGACACCGCAGTGAGAACGAGGGAAGCCCTGCAGCTCCGACGCGGATGGGCCTGGAAAACGAAGCTCAGTGAGAGCAGCCAGGCCGGAGGCCCCCGGGGTGGCTCCGTGTCTGCGAAAGTCCGACCGGCAGGCCCCGCGCAGGCCCTGTTTGCCAGGGGCCGGGCCTCTCTCAGGGACGATGACTTTTTCTAAAAGAGGCGGTTGTGCTGGCTGCAGAGCTGTGGGAGTGTGTCAAACGGTTGAATTGTACAGGGGCGGGCAAGAGTAGGTTTCCAGTTGTCCACGTGGGAAAAGACACGCCGGTTGTGGCCGTTAGGACAGCGTGGTTCACTCAGGAGCTCGCCACCGTGCACTTCAGTGCAGCCTGGTAAGAGCTCAGATCGCTGGCCTTCCTTCTGCACACGTCCTTAAAGCCTCTGAAAACCAGTGAAGCTGGTTCAGGGGCCCCGCTGGGGTTAGCCCCACTGCCTCCTGAAGCCCACGTACTTTTGCCCACCCCTGTGTAGTATGCAAATTATATCTCAATTTCAGAAATACTGACCGCCTGGCCCTTTCTAGAGAGAGCCAGCTGAGCCAGGGTGAGGGTGTGGGCTGTGGGGCCGGCTGGCTTGGGCTCTCCCCCTGGGTCTGCCATCTGCTTGCCGAGGGGCCTGGGGCGGGGGACACAACCTCTGAGAGCAGGGGTGGTGCCAGAACCTGGGGGGTTTTCCGTGAAAGTCAGCAAGTTTGGGTGCGTGAATGACAGCAAGGCCTGGCCATCGCCGGCCCTGCTGGGCCCCGCTGCCGTCAGGGTTACCAAAGGCACCGAGATACAGGTGCCGCCCACAGCGAGGTCACAGAGAGAAGACAGACGGGCAGAGCCCGGCAATAACCGCCCTTTCTGTCCCTGCAGGGATCGCCCGGAGCCCGCACCCGTCCTCGGCCCTGCACTTCCCCACCACCTCCATCCTGCCCCAGGCGGCCTCCACCTACTTCCCTCACACAGCCATACGCTACCCACCTCACCTCAACCCCCAGGACCCGCTCAAAGATCTCGTCTCACTGGCCTGCGACCCTGCCAGCCAGCAGCCTGGACCGGTGAGTCTGGGGAACATGCCTCGCCTCCCGCGTGCTCGGGCTCCAGCGGTGTCTCCGGTGGCCTTCTAACGTGCGACTCCTGTTTAGAATGGTTTTCCGAATGGCAGAGGGCCACGGTTCTCTTCCGGGGCACGTGGAGCTGGGCCGCTCAGCATCCGGCTTTTCAGACGTTAGAATTGACAGCATGTGTCTTACGAAGTGCTTGGAAATCAAACATGGTCCTATGGCTGCAGCTCAGGCCTAAGCTCCACAAAAGCTCTTGGTGTTCATTGCTTTCTGGATTTGAGAGCCGCGGCAAGGTGATGTGGCCAGGGGCTGGCAGTGATGGGGAAAGCAGAGCACTGTGAGGGCGGCCCCCCCCTGTCGTTTAGGACAAGGCGGCACCTTGTGGAAGGAAGGCGAGTGGATAAGTGGCTGCAGGAGGAGACAGAGGGAGTGCGGTGCCCGGATGCTGGAGGCCTGCAGGGCCGTGGCACCCCCCAAACCTGCCCAACCACGCCCCCCTTGTCCCCCAGCGGGACAGCGACCAGCAGCCCCAGGCGGCAGGGGTGCCGCCCCCTGAACCACATGTCTCTCTGTTCCCCCCGGTTAAATGGAAGCGGTCGGCTCAGAATGCCCAGTCACTGCCTCTGCTCAGATGCTGGCACCCCCGCCTCCGGGGCTGGCGCGGCTGGCACTCTTCCCCCCTCCCCCCCAAACCCACCTCCGAGGGAGGAAGCCGGCACCGGCCTCGCCCTGGAAGCACTGGGGAAGCGGGGCGTCCCCAAGGGGCCCCCCCACCCTCTTCCCCGACTGCCAGGCTGGGGACTCAGGCCCAGCGTGGCGGGCCCTGGCCAGTTCCATGAGTCCCCATTTCGGGGCCACGGGTCAGGCCCACATGGGCCAGGGCAGCCTTAGGGGACCCCAGGGGAAGTCTGCGGTCTGCTCCGGTTGGCTAAGAGGCCGGGCCCGTTTGCTTACTGTAGACCCTCAGCCCTCCTCCCTGCAGCAGCCGCTGACAGTAGATGGAGATCTCCAGCTGGCGGCCTGAAGGCCGGACATGGCCCCCCGTGGCCCTTGGTGGGATATGAGACTCGTGTGTTAAAATCCTGGCATTTCACATAAAAATTCCCGAGTTCCACATTTTGGGGGAAATGACCCCAGCAGGCCCTATTCTTGCTGGTGACTTCGGTTGAGCTGTACCTATAGATGGAATGGTCCCTACCTGCCCGCCTGACCCCAGAAGGCCCTGGGTTGGTCTACTTACCTTCTAGAACTTTGCACTCTCTGGATATGGATCCAGATTTCGGCTCGCTGGCCCCCATGCCCTCCCCCCATCTGGGGCTGCTCCAGGCTGGTGAGCCACTCCCAGATTCCCTGTCCTGGGGTCCACCCACCAGCAGGGGCTCTGCGCCTGGACTCTCCCTGGGCGCCAGAGCAGGCGAAGGGGCTGTCCACCGTCCCCACCGTCCTCTCAGTGCCCGGCACCCAGGGCATCTGTCCTGCGTCCTCAGGCTGAGCAGCCCCCGTTGGGCAGAGAGTCTCAGACCCCAGGCTTTCCCTGAGGTCTCATTCTGCCCCTCACCCCCTTTTTGATGTCTCCCTCGCTCCCCAAATGAGATGCCGTAGGGCCAGCGGCGCCTTCCTTGCATGAGCACTCCTGCCCGCAGCAGCACCGCCTGCCAAGACGCAGGCAGCTTCGGGTACAGGCGGGCCTTGTCTGAACTCCAGATGCAGAGCAGGGCGCTGGGTTTGAATCCTGCCTCTGCAACTCACTCCCTGTGTGACCTTGGGCAAATATCCTCCCCTCTCTGAGCCTCAGTTTTCTCAGCTGCAAAACGGGACAGTCACAATGTTTGTGGGGCGGTGGGGAGCGGGTCAGTGACATAGATCAGGGAGAACGTTTGGTGCAGCGGTGAGCGTAGAGCGGAGTCAGTGTGCGGTGACGGTGATCGCCGAGGGCCTGCCGGCTCCTCTGTGAAATGGGGAAATAATCGTGTTGGCTTCAGTGAGGCCGCTGTGGGTTCAGTGGGGTTGTGCCCAGTGCCTGGCATACAGTAGACACTTAATAGATGCAGAGTAAACATGGATTCCTGCTTCTTCCCGTCACCCGGGTCCTAACTACAAGGTTAGTCTGCTTCCCCCCGTAGCCCCAGGGCCTCACTGCCTCCCCTCACCTCACCCCGGCCGAGGCCACACAGAACCCTCACTCCCCAGCCCAGCCTGTCAGCCCGCCCACAGGCCCCCAGCCGTGAATTATTCACTTGCCCACAGATAGGATGGGCGAAATTAAAATTAAAATATATACATGTGGATGGACATCCCCAGCCTTCCCCGTGCCTCTGCAGGAGGAAAATTAATAAATAAAACAGCCTCAATAATTGATGGCGCCCGTGCGGGATGCAGGCTGCCGTCGCAGGATGGGCCTGGCGGCGGCGCGTCTGAATAATTCACAGGCGGTTTCTGACTGTGGATCTTCCCTCCTGCGCCTGCCTTCGCTCCTGGCAGACGCCCACCCGGTGACCCCGGGGGCCTGCGGCTGTGGGCTCTTCTGGGCGCCCGGATTGGCCAGGGGAGGGCACGGGTGCTCTGTGACCCCGGGCAGCGGCCACCCTCTCTGGGTGCTCCCGGGCGGCCCCTTTGCTAACGGGCTCTCGGTCTCTCTCCTCCCTGCAGCCTACTCTACGCCCGGCACGTCCCCTGCAAACCGTTCCTTTGTGGGATTAGGACCAAGGGATCCAGCGGGCATTTATCAGGCACAGGTAGGGGCCGAGAGGCCGGCTGGTGGCGGGCGGGCGGGCCAGGGCAGAGGGGCCAGCCTGGGCGCGCAGGACAGGCCAGCCTGCTGGGTCCCATGCCACCCCCCTCGCCGTGCCATGGCACGGTGGCCATCAGTGTGGCAGCGGGACCAGGTCCCCAGACCCTGCCTGCGGCTTCCTGCCAGGAGAACCTCGTGGGCTAATGCCACGCTGGGCCCAGGTGTAGGAGGGGAGACAGGGGCCACAGAGCTGAGGGGGTTTGCCCAGGATCATGTCACCCCAAGTTGTCAACCCCCTGGTCTTCATCCCTCCCATGTCACCAGTCAGAGGCACCGTGGGAGAGGTAGCAGAGGACTCCTGGATGCTAGGGGCAGGTGGGGAAACTGAGGCAGCCTGTGACAGGTGATGGGGGCCTCCTAGCATAGCATGCACCCACCTCAGATTACAGCCCGCGAGTGGGGCGGGCGGCAGCAGAGGCAGAGCTGGTGTTACTGCAGCTGAGTGTGCACCAGGCCGGGAGGAGGCGGGCTGAGCACAAGGCCAGGAGGCTCAGAGAGGAGGAGCAGGTTGCCTGAGGCTGCACAGCAGTGGGGGACAGAGCCCCGGCAGGTCCAGAGCAGGGACTGGTTCCCAGCTTCCGGTGGAGTGGGAGTGGCCGCAGCCCCACCCACGTGTCCTGACCCCAGCCCGCCGTCAGGGTCTGGGTCTGAGTGCTTGCTGTGTGCAGGCGGGAGTGTGTCGGCAGACGGTGTCGGAGGGTGGTGGCTGGGCCGTTTCCGGCGTGTGCTGGGAGGGGGCCTGAGGACAGCGCCAGCTCCTGGGCCTCTGAGCCCAGAGACCCGCCCGGGCTCCTGGGCGGCTCCGAACGGCAGCGCCACGGAGCGCGGAGATGTGCAGGTCCCAGGGCCGCGTCCAGGCCTCCGGCCCCCGGAGGGTCCTGGCACCGGGCCCACGGACGGGGGTGGGAGGAGGTGGGGAGATGGCTGCATCCCCGTTCTCCGCGGAGCTCACCATCTGCCGCACCGACCAGACCCAAGGAGTCACCGCCACGGCCCGGGGTCCTGGGGACCCTGCAAGGCTGGCTGGGTACAGCTCCAGGGGTGCAGAGGTGTGGGGTGACCTGGCTCCCCGCCCTCACGGCCCTGCTTTACCTGCTTTGACCTCGGGTCCCTCCTGGGGAGTCTGAAGGTCCCAGGATGATAGGGGACCAGTTTCACCCAGAAAGGGCACCGGGAGGCCAGAACCGGCCCCCATCCCTCACATCCCCACACAGGACTCTGCTCTGCAGGGTCCCGGCCGGGATCAGACAGGCTCGCCTGTGAGGCTCACCCAGCAGCTGGGGGCCCAGGACGCCCTGCTCTGTGTTCAAGGCCCCGTGACCTGGCCACCCTCTCTCAGTCCAGTGCTCTGAGCCTCGCGTTTCCTCTCCCGCCCTCGCCCAGCCCTCCCCACGGCGGCGGCTGGGAATGTCCTGATTGCCTCAGAGACCAGCGTTAATAAAAACAACAGGGAAGGGGCCCTGCCTACCTCACCCTCCCGGCCACCCGCCACCTCACCGCTTCCCTTATCAACTCTGCAGCGGGGCTGGGCCACCGCCGGAACAGCCCGCGGGAGGGCCTGAGCCAGGCAGACCGGCGCCTCTGCTTCTCCAGCTTTCCCGGCCCCTCCGGGGGACGCGGGGGGGGGGGGGCAGAGAGGGTGGACAGGCTGGTGAGCTCTGCGGAGGGGTCTCCGGGCACCGCTGGGCAGGGAGGGAGGATGAGGGTGTCTGGGCAGGGCTTGGCACTGACACAGGCCGGAGTGATGGAGAAATGGCTGGAGGGTGGGAAACCTCGAGCTCGGGCTTTGGCGGGGCCTTGGGGAGCCGTGGAGGGTTGAGGGAGGGAGGGAGGGCAGAGCCAGGTCTGGGAATGGGGAAGAGTTTTCTGGGACTGGTGCTGGGGTGGAGAGGCGGGGAAGCGAGGTGACAGATTGATGAGAGACTCCCAGGGGAGCCTGGGTTGTGGGGGAGGCAAGGCCCCAATCTGGGTGACCAGGGAAGGCAGGTCTGGGGGAGGGGGTCCCTGCGGCACCACACAGGCCAGACTCCGAGTCCCTGGACAAAGGGCACCCCAGTCCCAGGTGGGTCAGCCCCTTCCTCCTCAGGGGGCGGGAAGTGGGAGGAGGGCGCTGTGGGTGAGAGGCCGCTCCTCCTCTCAGAGCCCCTGCGCTGAGGCCTCCGGTTTCTGGCCCGTCAGCATTTCTGCCTCCGCCTCCCTTATTCCTGGCAGGTTTGCCTTTCTCTGCTCCCCCGCCCCCCAGCCTGCAGTGCTCCTCTCCCTCCCCATGCCCCCTTCCATCTCCTCCTGCCTTCCACCCCATCGTGCCCATCTGCCTGATCAATATCCCCTCCCCCCACCAGTGTTTCCTTCCCCATCGGTGTCCTCTCCCCTTAATCAATATTACCTCCCTCCGTCTGTGCCCCTCCCCCTGATCAGTATCAGTGCCCCCTCCTGAGCAATGTCCATTGATCTCCGCCTGGTCAGTTCTTCATGCCCTCCTCCCCTCCCTGTCGGTCGCATCAGTCCCCCAGTCCTGAGTCAGGGGGGGTTCCAGGGACTCTGACACCTCACCCCCTTTTCTGTGTGATACCTCCCCTCCCCCCACCTTTGTGCTCAGGAGCCCCTCACACCCCTTCAGAGAGGACTGTACTGAGGACCGGAGCGGGTTCAGTGCCCTAAGCCATGCTTGGTGGCTCCACCAGCCCAGGGGAATGCCAGAGCCCGGACCTCAGCCGGCCCTGCACTGCCTCAGTCTCCCTCTCCGGGAGGGAGAGGATGTGGAGCTGGGTGCCGCCCTGTTCCTGGGGCCAGAGCAGGGCAGCTGGCCTGGGAGGGGAGGAAGGAGGAGGAGGCCGGGCCAAAGGGAGGCCGGCCACCACTGGAGAGGGCCACGCCCAGAGTCTGTCTGGTTGCCAAGGGAAACCAGACATGAGGTAATGGCCAAGATGAACTTGAACTTGGTTGGAGTTGGGGGCTGGGAGCCACAGCTAGTTTGATGGGATGGCCCAGCCGCCGCAGGGTGAAGGCCTGGCTGGAAGGGATCCGTTGATTTATAGCAGGCGGGGGGCAGCCCTGCCCTGGCCTCAGGGAAGGGGGGTCCCCAGACCCAGCCCCCTGGGCCAGCACCAGTGCAGCAGCTGCCCTGCGGAAGCACGCCGAGCTGTCCGGCGCAGCCCGGCCCCTCCCGGAGCCTCTGTCTCCCACTGCACAGAGGGGGTGAAGCCCCTGAGGCCAGGCGAGGGGCTCGGTCCCGGTCCCGGCAGAGGGAAAACCAAGGACTGGAGAAAGTGTCTTGGGCTAGAGTGTTAATTCCGCCTTCTGCGTCCCACGCTGGTGGCCTTGGGCAAATTATCTGACTTCTGTGATTCCCCAGTTTTCTCCACTGGGAATGGTGGTTCCGCCTCCACAGGAGTTTGGGGGGATCATTAAGTGGGAGAACGTTTGTTTAAAAAAAGAAGCATCCCTGGTCACGATACCTGGTGCAGTGGCTCTGCAGGAAACGGGCTCGGAGCAGGGAAACCACAGCGCCCTCTGTGCTCAGGGCAACGAGGCTCGCCGTTCCTGTTGCCAGTTACAAAGCAAAACTGCAGGATGCGCAGGCAGATTGGAATTGCTGACAGTGAAGGACTAAAAGGTTTTTTTCTTGCTGGTATATATAAGTTTATTCCAAAAGCTGCATGGCGTGTGCTTGTCCTGAAAGATTTACAGGGAGTTCAGCTTCCACTGTTGCATCCAGCAGCCCCGCTCGGGGTGAAGTCACTTGCCCAGGGTCACCCAGCTGGTGGTGGCAGATGTGGGAGGGGGCACGGGGCACAGGGAGGTGGGTGGGCCGGGGCGGTGGGCAGCGGCAGAGCCTGACCTCGCTCTCTCTCTCTCCCCCTCTCCGCGGTGCTCCCCGGCCGGCCAGTCCTGGTATCTGGGATAAGGAAGATCTCCCACGCCCTGCTCCTGCGTCCGGGGTGGGCCGCCCCGCCGTCCCCGGCCCACGTTTTCGGTGGAAAGTTAGAGCAAGCAAGAACACCCTGCCGACTCCCAGCCCAGCCGAAAAGACAAAACACATAGACACATATACACAGGAGGAAAAAAAGAAAAAGCCAAAAAAAAAAGACAAACGGGAAAAAAATCATAAAAACAAACCCACCCAAGCAAGAAGACAAAAGGTGAAGACGGCCACACTCCGGCTCGGGACGCCACAGCCGCCCTGCCGCCCGGCGGAGGGCACGGGCGGGACAGTGCCCGGGGCCTCTGTTCTCATCTCTGCTGCTCCGAGGGCAGGCGCCCGCCCGCCCCGCCAGGACCAGGTGAGCACAGCCCACGCCTGCCAGGCCCGGGGCAGGACGCCGGCCGGCCGCCTCTCCCGGCCCCTCGTCTCCTCCGCCAGGACCCGGCGGGCTGCCGCCTGGTGATGTCCACGCCGGACGGCCGGCTCCGCGGAGCGGGGTGGGCAGCGGTGACCGGGCAGGAGGAGGCCGTGGGAGACCCTGGGCGTCGCCGGGGACAAGGACGCAGGGCAGATGGGTTCACGGCGGGCCTGGGGCCGCCCCGGATCGCCGCCCGCTCCCGATGTGCCGGGCTGGCTCGGGACTCGCAGCCCCACGCCCATCTGTTTGGGAAGAGAAGTCTCTATGCAATTGCCCCAGCCCCACCCGGCGGCACAGAAGGCCACCCCGCCCCCCGCACCCACCGCGGCCCGCACCCCGGGGAGGGACCCACGTTGCACACACTGTAAGAAATGCACTTTCCAGGAAGGGGCTGCGGGCGGAATGGCAAGACCCGGAGGTCCTCGAGACGGGGGTCGTCCGGCGTCTCCGTCCGCCCAGCCCTGGCGGGGCCTCCCGCCTGCCCAGAGGAGGTGGGAGGCGAGAGCGAGTGGATTAAGTGCCTGATTCCCACCGCCCACCCCTCTGTCCGGCTGAGACGTGAGAGTGGCCGTGGGCATCCCCCCCTCCCCCACCACCCCTCATCGCTGTGCTCCCCTCAGAACGACGGGCCCCGTGGGCCCGAGGGGCAGAGCTGGGTGTCCCCCGAGCATCCTGCTGTGCCGGGGCGTGGGGGCGGGGTCTGGGGAAGCTGGTGTGCCCCCCAACGCCGCCTCTGCCAGTGCCTTACATCCTGGAGCGACACCCCTCCCCGGTGCCTCAGCCCGAAGGGGGACTACGGTTTGCACTTTTCTCTCCCCACAGCGGGCACAGCCGGGGAGGCGCATTGCAGCAGGGCCCCCAGAAGGACTGCAATCCTGGACGGGGTGGGGGTTCTGGCGGAGGGGGTGCCAGCCCTCTGGGCCCCTGCGGCTGCATAGGGGACCTCCATCTGCTAAGCATTTTCCGTTGAGCCGCTCCAAAAACACTAAGCTGGGGACACCGGGTACCCCCCACCCGGGCTCCCCAGCCCCATTCCCGCCTCCACCCCAGGGTGGCCATCTTGGGGGGCCCTAGGAGGGAGTGTTAGGTGTTCTAGGGTAACCAGGCCCAAACACAGAGCCCCCTCCCAGCCCGTCCACCTGAGCCCCCTGGCGGCCTCCAGCCTCCATGCCTGGCGCTGAAGAATACACCCCGCCCGCCTGCCGGCCGCCGAGGCCAAGCTGCGGCCCTGAGCGGGCTCCGCCTCATCTGCTCCCAGCCCGGCCCTCCCCTCGGCGCCTCCTCCTGCTCCCCCCGGGCCTGGCCAGCCTCCCCCACTTCCAGAAACCGGACTTTTCTCCCAAACCAGTCGGAGGGGCTTGGCGGACCCACTTGATCGTAAAGAGAAAGACCCAAGTCCCTTCGCCGACTCCCCCTCCCATTGCCCAGAGGGTCCCAGGACCCGTGGCCCATCCATGGGTCCCCAGGGTCCCCCAGGCGGCCGGCGGGGACGCAGCTCAGGCCGTTGGTTGGGAGGGCAGGGTGGGGGGGGGCGGGGGGCGGGTCGAGCAGCTAGGGTGTCCCGCGCTCAGCCGGAACCTTAGGGTGCAGGGCGGCGGGGGAGGGCGGGGCCCGCAGCCCCAGCGACCTAACTTGCATGGTGCTTAGTCGAGGACTCCTGTGGCCTGGCTCCTGCTGCCGGCGCCCTACAGCTGGCACTGCATGGCAGATCCTACCTGGCTCTATCTCCCAGCCCCCCCACGACGCCCCCTCCTCTTTAAAAAAAAGATACAAAAAAAATACCTTTAAAAAAGCCCATGTTTCCTAATTTGCACGAAATTTTCTACCACATGATGTGCCTTGCCTTCCGAAAATAAGTATTACCTTTACACAATATCAGCGCAAAGGTAGCTGCATGCCCTGCTCGTGTAGTTAAAAAGAAAAAGACAAAACAATGACATGAAATAAAAAGTAAAAATGGAAAAGGGATGTATTTCTATTTGTAAAAAACAAAAACAAAAAAAATAAGTTTTAAAAAATTACATGCTAAAAAGCAGTCCACAGAGCAACTGCCCCACGACCCGCCCGCGCCCCACCCGCCCCATTGGGCTGTCTCCATGGCTCCTGCTGCTCTGGGGGCGCTCCCTGGTGCTCCGCCAACCCCAGCCCCACCCCGGCTCCAAGGGGTCGTTCCTGAAGCCCCCGCCACAGCAGCAGACAGACCTCAGAGCGTGCCCGGCCCGGGCCACCGGCTAGTCCCCCAGACGCCACGCATGCACGCGTGACCCAGGCTGTACCCCCATGGGGTGGCCGCCCTGCGGCAGCTGGACTCCCCATCCCACCTCATCAGGCTGGCGTCCCTCTGGCTCAGGGTCACACTGCTCTCCCACCCCCAGAGGCTCCCTCTCCCCCGTGCACCCTCCTTCTTGCCAAAGGACCCACTTGTCCCCTTCTCTGGACACCAGCCTTGGGTGTCAGTTCCTCCCTGCCCTCTGCCCCCCACACCCAGTACTACGTCTTCCAGCTGCGACTAAGGAGGGTATCTGGTATGAAACAAAAAACAAAAACCAAACTCGATATATGCAATATCTGTCTGTCTGTACCTGTAAGTCTAGCCCAGCCGTCGGGGGCAGCCAGGGGACACCCCATCGTCGTTCTCTGTCTCGGTGGCTGGCCATGCTGTTGTCTTTTCCTCGTTTTTTATTTTCTCATTTCCTCCCTTTTTTTTTTAAGCTCCGTTTCCTGTCCCTTAGCTCAGTGGAAGGTGAGATGGTGGCAGTGAGCGGGGTGTCCAGCGGGAGGACCCAAGGGCTGGACCCTCCAGCCTCAGGCCACACCCGCTGGACGATGTCCACCTCTGCCCACTGCCCCTGGGACGTTAGCTCTGTCTCCAGAGCAGGTGGGACTTGGCAGAAAAGAAGGTCCCAGCTTTCATCAGCCCCTACTCGCTCATCCCATCTCCTTCCCAAAGACACTCGGCACGCCCGGGGCAGGGAGAGCCGGCCTGGCCTGGCCTCGGCCCATGGCAGTGCCCTCAGAGCAGTCACGTGGCCAGAGAGCCCACGGCTGTGTGTGTCGGTTTCCATGTGTCTGATTTCTGTTTTATTCCACCTTTGCAAGGGCTTTGCTGGAGCCATATTGTGTGTCGTCGTCCCCCCCCCCCCCCCCCCCCGTGGACTGCACTCCACTGCGCCACCCTCCGGCCTGGCTGTGACCCTGCCCTGCCAGCACCATCGCCGGGCACTGGGCACCTCCTTCCGGCCAGTGTGTCATCCTGGGCCGTTTGTTCCTGTTTCTTGGAAAAGACCCAGCGTCCCCGTTGAGCAGAATGCCCAGCCCCTCATTGCAGGCAGCATAAGGCTGAAATATTAGAAACCAGACCCCTGACCCACCTCTGCAGCTTGGGTTTGTGCCCACGGCAGGGATGGCAGCCTTGTTTTTGTGTGCGTTTTTTTACACGGAGGAAACCGACGTCTTCGCAAACCCCCTCCCCTGCCAAGCCCGCCACCCGCCACTCCCCGCCGTGCGAAGCCCGCCCTGACCCTGGGGTCCAGCTCTGCGGTGGAAGAGAAGAGGGGAGCCTCCCAGAGGGTGGGGGGAACCAGACACCGACCAGGCCCGGGGAAGGGTGAGGGGGATGGGGAAGGACCGGAAACGGGAGTGGGCTCCTCCGTGCCCATGGCCGCAACTCGGGTTCTGGCCGAGCTTCCAGCCCCACCCTGAGCCAGACAATCCGGCCCGAAAGGGACCCCAGGGGAGACCCCGGGGGCCGCTGCAGCCCCACGGGCCCACTCCCTCTGCTCCGGAACCTTCTCTGTCCCTGAGACAGAGTGTTCCCGGGCGGGCAGACCTGAGGGGCCAGAAGCTGCCTTCCAGCCCCCTCACTCCCGCTTCTCCGATGGGACTGGACCTTCAGTGCAGGCAGATATGCCAGTGAGCATAAGCATCTTTACTTACAGTACAGATTGGACCGTGGCTACTTGTTATTTTGGCCTGGATTCTCTCTCTCTCAGAGCCTGGTTTTTTCTTTCTAGAGAGTGTTGGGGGCGGGGTTCAGAGATTCACCCTCAAATCCAGCTGCTTCCACATCTTCCCATCTTCCCCCATTTCTGCACCTTTGGACACTTTCTAAGAGTCCCACCCCCAAGCTGACACGCCTCTCCCCACCCCCTACCTGTTCCTAAGCCTTTCAGAGTGTGTGGGGTCTGCCGTGGCCCTGGAGGCCCACCCAGCCCTGCCCCCAGCAAGACAGGGAGACAGACCCAAAGCGATCCCAGCAGGACTTGTTGCCAGTGATACCAAAACAGAGTTTTCCCAAGCAGTGCCTCACACGTCTGCTGGTGTGGCTTTGGAGTGCTCCCCGCTCCTGGGAGGTCCTCAGCGGCAGGAGTCAGGATCTAACGGGAATAAAGGGCTCGGAGGGGAGGGAAGTCACACACGCCCCAGCCACAGCCCTGCACTCACACCTCCTGGCCAGAGGGACCCTCCTTCAGGCGGGAACCCCCAAGCCCACTCCCAAGGTGCATTCACATTTCTATCTGTTGATCTTCCTGTCTTGGGTCCCAGCCAGGCCCCCCAAAACCAAAGCCCCTTTAAGTCCAGGGGTCCTGACCCTTGCCCCCAGTCTCCTGGCCCCCACATGAGGAAGGACAAGCAGTGTCCAGGCAAGGGACAGAGCACACAGCGTGGGGGGGACAGGGAGGAGGGGGAGAGAGACCTACTTTCCTCTGAATTTCCTTTCCCTCCCCCCTTCCTTCCATCCATCCATCCATCCATCCATCCTTAAACTTTTTGGTGGTGTTGCTGTTCACTTTTTCTTTTGAGATATTTTTTGAGGTTTTTTTTTTTTTCTCTCTCATTTTGTATTTTACTGATATTACCAGGATAGTTTACTCTGTTTCTTGCTTTGTGCTTGCCGCACGTACCGGATAACATACACACGCCCGTGCTCATGGGGGAGAGGCTCCGGCTGGGTCTGCCCTTCCGCCGCCCCAGGTGGGGCCTGGACGGGGACACGGGACATCCGGGCGGACCTGAGCCCAGCCCCCTCCCTCCCCCGGCTCACCGCCCCGCTCCCTCATCATACTCCGATCATAACCTTGTATATTACACCTTCATTCGGTTTTGCAGATGCGCCTAAGTACCATTTACAGAAAGTGATTCTGGCTGTTATTATTTTGTTTGTTTGTTTCCCTATAAAAAAAAAAAAAAAGAAAAAAAATGGGGGGTTCCATAAAAGATTCAATAAAAGGCAAAAAAAAAAAGAAAAATGTATAAAAATTAAAAAAGCTACGCTTGACTCTTTCGGGCTGTCTTTGTCCTTTCTGTGTTCACGGCGAACTGTTCTGTGTTCCAGTGAAGGGAAGGGGCTGGAGGGCAGGGCAGGGGGCCCCCGGAAACGGGGACCCCAACACGTTGGGTGAGCGGCAGGTCCCCGGGCACCTGTCGCCATGTCGGGACATCTGTGGTTACAATGGGAAAGCTGCTGACATGGGAGGGTGGGAGGCCGGGCTTTGCTCACCCCCACACTGTGCCCAGGAGAGCCCCCCACGAGGACAGGCCAACCCCAATGCCAGCCAAGCCGAGGGGGAGAGACCCGCTCTGATGGCGGGTTTGGGTGAGGCCAGGCCCTTCTCACCTGGTGTGTCCTCACGGCCCCGCCCCTCTGCAGCCCTAGGATGCTGGGCTGCTCCTGCCCTCAGCAGTGCGGTTCTGGCACCCCCTTGTGGGCGGACTGAGGAGCTGGACCCAGAAACCGCCAGCCCCAGCCCCAGCCCAGCTCCTCCCCGCAGTGGAAATGGTGCATTTGCAGGAGCTTCTCAGCTGGCTGGCCTGGGAGCTGAGCTGGAGAGGGCTCGGCGGGTTGCAGGCCTCAGGTTTGGCTGGGAACCTCACTCTGGCCTTTAATCTCAAGGGAAGTCCGTGGTTTTCACCATTGGCCCCTAGGACAGAGCAGTTACTGGCTTTGGGGGCTACCCCGGCACTGCAGGCTTCTCACCGGCCCTAGGTCCCCACTAACTACCATAAAAGGGAGGCAGACTTGTGACAACCTAACACCCCCCCCCCCCCCCCCCGCCTGCAGAAAGGGAGGATCCGGACAGCCCTTCTCTCTCTTACCCTCCCTCTCAGCACCCCGTCCCCTGGGAACCCCCAGACTGTGCCCAGAGCTTGAGAGGCAGAAATTCCCACCTTCCCAAAGCTGCAGGCAGAAAGCACCCCCTCTGGCCCTGGCCGGCGTGGCTGAGTGGCTGGAAGGTCGCTGGTTCGATTCTAAGTCAGGGCGCATACGTGGGTGATGTGGATCAGGGCACAGGCGAGAGCCATGGTTCTCCCTCCCTCCCTCTCTCCCTCCTCTCTCTCTCTCCCTCCCTTCCTCTCTCTCTCTCTCTCTCTCTTCCCCTCTCTCTCTCTCCCCCTCTCTCTCTCTCCTCCCTCCTCCCTCTCTCTCTCTCTCTCCCTCTCTCTCTCTCTCTCTCTCTCTCTCTCTCTCTCTCTCTCTCTCCCCTCCCTCCCTCCCCTCTCTCTCTCTCCCTCCCTTCCTCTCTCTCTCTCTCTCTCTCTCTCTCTCCCCCCCCTCTCTCTCCTCTCTCTTCCTTCCTCTCTCTCTCTCTCTCTCTCTCTCTCTCTCTCTCTCTCATCTGAAAGCATATCCTCAGGTAGGATTTAAAAAACAATAAGAAAACACCCTCTGACCTTCAGAATTCCCCCAGCCTGAGAGGGAAGTGTCACTCCCCTGTCCATTGCCACCCCTGCAGCGGAACGGAAAACCGACATTCATAACGCCTTTTGGCTGTGTCCTGTGCACAGGAGTGGTGTAGACAGAATTTCCTTCAATCCCCATGGAGGTGTTGATGTGCCTCGACAGGGCGCGGCACGAGGCAGAGAGGGGGCGTTGGTTGCCTGAGGCAGCACAGGAAGGTGAGGCGAGGATGACGTGTGTGCGCCCCC